CGTCTTGGATCCTCCTAGTTAAGTGTACTTTCTTTTGTTTCTTCCCGAGGTCGTTTAGATCCTTCACCAATCGACTCATATTTCTTTTTATACGGATATATATTTTCAAAGAACTCAGCATTATCTGATTCTATAACCGTATTATTATGAATGTCAGGATTTTCTGATTTATGAACCAGAAATCGATATGCTTTATTATTAGTCGCATATCCTATGAAAACACAATCAACGGTTTTCGGTCCGATTTTTACTCTTTTGGGTTTAGGAACTTGCACTTTTGTCAAACACCCCCACACTTTAAAATAATTCAAGTTGGGCTTCCTTCATTTTCATTTTTCATATGGAATGGATTGTGTTTTGCTATGGGGTACTCGATTTAGAATTTGGCTAGCCGTAAAAACGGCTTTCTTCCACAAGTTCTGTGGCAAACCAGAACTTATCAATAATGCGTTCATCATCTCCTTTAATGAACGATTCTTTCTTTCTTTCTGCAATCCTATTGGATTGGGGTGTGTAAGGGGCCATTGTTTGATGAATAATTCCATATTCTAAACATATTTCTTCAAAAGGAGATTCATATTCACCACCCCTATCACTTCTTATCATTTTTATTTTCTTGTTAAGTTGTGTTTCAACTTCATTTTTGTATTGCTTGAATGCGTCTATTGCTTCATCTTTACTATTAAGTAAGTAAACATTAGCAATATCGAGTACTATCATCAATAAAAGTTATGAAATACTTCTTTCCACCGCGAGATGGTATTGACTTCATGTCACAAATATCTGTGTGAATTAAGTCTAAAAGATTTGAATTCCTTTCAACTGATTTATAAGGATGTTTAACATACTTAGATTCCACACATACTTGACATTTTGATTTGTCACATTCAAACTTAGGCAATACTTCCAAATTAATCATTTTCCTTAAGGTTTTATAATTAACATGACCCAAAAGTATATGCCATAATTTATTTGACTCAAGTAAGTAAGACGAAACTGAAAATTTATTATTATTTTCAACAACCATTACATTCAGCTTGAAAAGGCCTTCAGTGAGGTAACCTTTTCCTACAAACATCTCGTTCTTACTTATTACAACTTATCGGATACAAATACACATTTAAAACCATTTTTAACAAGAAGTCTAATAGAGACTAAATTCTTCCTAATCTCGGGAACATGAAGGACGTTGTTCAAAGTCACCACTTTGCCGGAAGTCATTTTGAGAAATATCTTCACACATCCTTCAATCTTGGCCTTTGCAGCATTTCCCATAGAAATCGTCTCATCGGGTCCAACAGGAGCATAAGTAGCAAAAACTTCTTTAACAGTACAAACGAGGGGAGTGGCTCCAGAATCAATCCACCACTCTTTAGGATTGCCCACCAAGTTGCATTCGGAAAGCATGGCACATAAGTCACCAACATCATCATGCTTTTCAACCATGTTTGCTTGACCCTTCTTCTTGTCTTTCTTCGGAGCACGACACTCCGTAGATTTATGTCTGGTTTTTCCACAGTTGTAGCAGTTTCCACTGAACCACTTCTTGCTTGGGTTATATTTCGGTCCACAAACCTTCTTCCTCTTTTTGTTCTCTTCAACAATATTTGCTCCCATTATTGTTGAGTTTCCACGGCCTCTCTTTTCAGCAGCTTTGTTGTCCTCTTCGATTCTCAACCGAATAATGAGATCTTCAAGGGACATCTCCTTGTGTTTGTGTTTCAAGTAGTTTTTGAAGTCCTTCCACAAAGGAGGCAACTTCTCAATCATCGCTGCTACTTGGAATGCTTCATTGATGACAAGTCGTTCAATGAAATTTCTGTTAGTAAAAATACTAAGATTACTAATTTCAACATCAATATTAATTTGATTTATACCTTCGGCAAGGAGATCGTGAATAATCACTTGCAATTCTTGGACTTAGGAACAGACTTGCTATCTACTATTTTGTAGTCCAAAAACTTTGTAGCAACGAACTTCTTCAACCCGGCATCTTCGGTTTTGTATTTCTTTTCAAGCGCAGTCCACAGTTCTTTTGACGTTTCTACGCCACTGTAGACGTTATACAAAGCATCCTCCAACCCGCTTAGAATATAATTCTTGCACAAAAAATCTAAATGCTTCCACGCCTCAATCACGAGAAAGCGTTCAGTTTCTGGAGTTTCATCGACCAGCACAGGAACTTCTTCCTTGATGAACTTCTGGAGACTTAGAGTAGTCAAGTAGAAGAACATCTTTTGCTGTCAGCGCTTGAAATCAATCCCGAAATTTTTTTCGGGTTTCTCCGCTGGTGCCAATGCTGCCGGTGTTGTTCGACTCGTTGAGGCATTGGCAGTCACCATCGGAACAACTTAGTTTCTGTTATCATTACTCATTTCCGTAAAAGAATGACACAAACGTTAAAATCACGTAGATTTTAATAGAGGACAAAACCACAAAGGTTTTACTCTCCAAAAATAGTGAGTACAAATACAGAAAATATATTAAATTCCTTAAGCTTGTTAGTATACTGTATTTTTAAAATAATTCTAGAAATATAAATGAACATAAACAGGAATGAACAACGAAATAATAGAAAACCAATTCGAGCCCACTGAATTCACAGTGTTTCCTTAAGGAATTTAATCCCCTCCTAGTACCCAAGGTTATGGATTATTTCCTCCCAGGATAGAACGAATGACACACTGGTGTAGTGGTACTTCAAACCCCAGTGTTTCAGCGAACACAAAGTTCGGTAGCAAATCACACTTACTATTGCTTTGTTTGATGTTTAAACTATGTAGAAGAAGGAGAAGAAACTCAAAAAATCGTATCGAAATTCTGAGCAGAATAGCCTTGTATTTATAGCCAAAGTTAGGCTGAAATCCGAAGAGGTGCAACTCTTCAGAATGGTTGTGGCCACAACATAAATGTCATTACATAAATTGCTATTTACTCAACAATAAAGAGGGAAAATTGAAGAGGGTAGTTAATTTTCTGTTACCAAAACAGAAAAACGGTTTGGAGGATTAATATTAATATTCTGTTATTAAAACAAATATTTAATAATATTTCTGTTAATATTTTACTATTAACAAATTAATTTGGTCCAAAAAGTTAATCAATCATTTGACCGAAGCCGAAACCGAGCCGAGCGAGTGACGACTATTGCGGCGCGAGGCTTGCCATCTTCTCAACTCTTTAAGAGCTAGAAGAAGAACAATTGCTTATATACCCATACAAAACCTATTCCTCTTTCAATATTGGACAATGTCCATTTGCCAAGGGGGAACTTAAAATTTCACTTAAAAATTTCATTTCTCTCCATTTCTCATTCACCCTCTTTTATGTATTTAATATATTAAATACATAACAAACCCAACAGAGTCTAGACCCCTTTCTGGCATATTTAGGACCACAAATGTCAAAAGTCTTCATTTTTTTAAACTTCATGTCAAGTCAAACAGGTTCACATAAATTGAAATGGAGGGAGTACGAAACTTAATTATCTAAGTATAGGTCTAAAATGGCTAACTATTGTACTACATTTTAAATTCTCGCGTTACTTCCTTAGTCTAATGGACGAAATTTTTTCTGCTAAGGAGAAAAAAGATTAATCTAATTACTTTTAAAAGCAAATTTAATCCCATAGACTAACGAGAAATTAAAAAATTAAAAAGTCGCCTCAAAAAGGGCAAAATAATCCATATATAAATAAGGTTCTACCATCTTCAAAAAAGATTTGAAAATAACAAAAGATACGAAGATAATTTTTTTTAATTATAAATGTTATCCATATTAATTTGTTGTCACTCATAACATTGATCTCAAATCTTAAGTTAGCTAAAATTAATTTTCCTTTTGGTGTTTCCATTTTCCCTATTTAGTTTAATTATATCTGAATCGAATCGATTTTTCCAATTTGAAATTCAGAAACTTATTCCGTAGAAGGATTTTTGGTAATGGAATGTAGGGGTGGGCATCGGTCGGTTCGGTTCGGTTTTGAACATTATCGGTTTTGTCTATCGGTTATCGGTTTACAAATATCATAACCCGATAACCAAACCGATAAGATATTGGTTATTGGTTATCGGTTAATCGGTTATATATCGTTATCGGTTTAACCGATAAGATAAAACAACTAAAAAATTTTGCAATATATAAAACAAAGAAATCAAACTGCCAGAACGTGTAAACTGCCAACTTTTGTTGTTTCTTAACAAAAGCACGCTCCCACTTCTGTGCAGTATCTACTGATGTCTGGCGGAAAACTGGTGGTGAGTCTTGCATCTTGACTCTTGGGGGCTGCGACAGAAACAAGAATGAGAACTGAGAGACAAACGACTGAAGACTGAAGAGTGAAGGTAATTAGGAAAATAAATAACCCTAGTATATACTTAAGGGTAAATTAGTAAATTACATCATTCTTATTGGGTTATCGGTTTTTACCCAATAACAAAAATGCAAACCGAGCCCGAACTGATAACCCAATAAAAAACAAACTTTAACCCGTTACCGAACCGTTAACCCAATAACCCAATACCGATAACCCAATAAAGAATTAACGGTTCGGATTATCGGTTTTACCCGATATATGCCCACCCCTAATGGAATGTCCTGCATAATTTCTCCTTACATGTTCTCCCTTAAATTTATTCTACTACCACTATATATCAACATTTTAAATTCGAATTTGACATATAAAAGCAGTCATTAATACAAAAAAGAGGACATTGACATAAAAGGAAGTAAAGATTCAGCAAAGGAAACAATAGGAAATACTAGTATGTACATTAAGAGGGAGATATGAATATATATATTTAGAATAAGAAAGAAAATAGCGCATTAAAGTGAAGGATTTGCACAATAGGAATATGGAATATTCTTGATAATACACACAAAACCCTCCCATTTTCATTCTAAAATGTGATATTAAAGTGGAAAATTTACAAAATAGCACATTTAAATTTCCCATTTTTTTTTATTTCAAAAAAATTCTCCCTTCTTTCCCTCTTCTTTCAATTCATATCAATTACTTACTTAACTTTAAATTTGATCAAAATCCAATTATTAAATATTCATGCCAACAAATTCCATAAAATAAGCTACTTTCTTTTTTATGGTTCACACTTACCATTTGAAAATCTCATCATTTCTCTATAAATTCATAGAAGAGTTCATCACCAATACACAAAAATACATAAACTCATATATAGCTTGTTGAAGATTTTAAGGTTCTTATTTGACACGTCTTTTTTTATTCTGTCTAAGTATTTTTTATCACTAATATACATGTATTTAGTAGTCGCTGATAAAAATAATTTTAATGAATTCAGAGTATGTTGATTCATCAAAGAACTATTCTACAAATTTTTTCTGGTATTATATTTTCTTCTGAATTATGACAAAGTTCAAGGAGAAACGAAGTTGTCCAAACTTGAGGAATTGGCGTTAGAGAAGCAACTTAAACGTTTGAATAAACCAGCAGTCAAAACAATTAAGGTATGTGTTTTTGGTATATTTTCTATGCGAATATCACTTTTGTATTTTTTTTAAAGGCAATGCCCTTTCATCCATGATGATTTTTAACAATCATGTTAAATATGATAAACTGAATTTACCAGTTTTTCGTAGTTATGTTGTAGTTGAAAATTGTGAAATTTTTAAATTATAATTTTCACATGTTCACTAATTTGTTGTTACATTTTATCAAGAAAATTAAGGCAAAATATCTCCTCTGGCAAAAGCCTATATATACTCATTTTGAAAGTTAGATATGATAAAGTACTAGACAGATGAAGCAGTTTATCATTTACCAACCATTTTATTCTACGTCATTTTTATGTATACACAAGTTACATTTCCATAGCATGATGTTGAATACACTACTAATAGAATAAGAATTAGCGACGGATAAATTCTGTAGCTAAATAACAAAATTTATCGCTAATGGTGACAGATTATCAAAATATTATGCTACCTACGAGCGATTTAGCAATAGATTAACGACGAAGTTCATAGCTAATTTCAGTATTTTTAATAGTAATAGTGCAACCAATATTACTAATAAGTTTATGAAATTTTTGCTTCACAGACTAAATGGGGTGACACATACGACTGTGTGAATTTCTACAAACAACTTGCATTTGATCATCCATCATTGAAGAATCACAATTTTTATCCCGAGGTATGTATTTATGCATTTTTTTGTGTACTCAACCTTATACAAATGTAAAACTGTCAATAGATAAATAAAATAAGTTTTGAATTGATAGATGAAACCTACTTTATCAACGATAAAGCAAATTCCAAGTGCTTCAACTGTTGATATATCTTCGAAGATATTGTTAGAGAATGAAGGTTGTCCTTCTGGAACCGTTCCTATCAAAAGAGTTACCAAAGATGATCTTATTAGACAAAGACGTATGCCACCGCCAGAAGATTTCACATTGGAATCTCACTTAGAGGATGTAAGATTATATATTACATCAATTTACAGCTATCTCGATTGTTCATTTCTGGAAAACAGAATAGACAACGCATGTTCTACCTATTTATTTCATTTTACTTAAGACTTCCTACAATTATAAAAAGGAGAAAATACTTTATGTATAAATCTGACTTATTTTTTTACTGTTTTGTGCAGACAACCCACATTTTGGAGGAAACTGGAGGATACAAGGTACATGAATATGATATTAAATAGTTTTTTCTTCATTTTTGTGTGTTATATTTTGCTTTTTGAAGTGAATAAGCATAAAGTTAACTTGAATAATCTATGTAATGAGTAAAGGAAAATTTTCATCTTTTATATTCAGCGTGCAATTGTTCATACTCCAAGTGATCCAAATAACAAGTTTGCGGGAGCTGCAATGATAGCTAGTATATGGAATCCTCATGTGGAAGGTCAACAAAGTAGTGCGTGTCGATTGAAGATTCAAAAAGGACCAGATAGTATGCAAGTTGGTTGGAGAGTAAGTTTAACTCCTTATTTTTAATAATTTAATTATATTTTCTTACTTGCAATAGTTTCAAATTTTTAGACGACAGATATAGAAAAGGGAAATTGAATGGGAGGATGAGATGGAGATTTAATTTTATACCTCATTGAACCCTTAATAATTATAAGGGGTCGTTTGGTAGGATGCATTAGATAAATTAATGTATGCATTAGTTTTGTGTATTAATAATATATTGTTTGGTAGACATTTTGAACCTATGTATTAGTTATACATCCTATTTGGTATTATCCTATGCATAACTAATGCATAGAAAACAATGGTATTAGCAATGCAATGGATTTTAATGCATGCATTAGCTTAGTTAAAGATAAAATTGTTCTTCAAAATTTATGTTTTATTAAAATATACTAGTTAGTATATTAATGCAAGTTCAAAATAATCCAAATAGTGAGAAATAAAATTATATCCCTAGTAAATAAATAAATACTTAGCATATTTTTTTTTATAAATAAATATTTAATTTATTTTACAACATAGGTAGACAAATAAAATAATTTTTTTAAAACTTTTTCATATAAAAATATTTCTCAACATATGTTTCTTTTAAAAAGTTAGAGTGTGGACTAGATTTGAGGGCATTTTTGTAAACAAATAATTCTTTTAGAAATTGTGCAATACTTTAATATATCAAACCAAACAATGGATAAGAAATATGTCAGCATAACTAATACCAGCATTACTAATACACCATATTCAGCATTATTCTTATGCACCCTATCAAACGACCCCTAACAGTTCTATTTCTTGTTTTAGGTGGATCCAACACTATATGGGAATAATCATACTAAGTTTTTTATACATTTCCAAGTAAGTTTTCTTGTGTTCATAAAACTATATATAGTATCTTTCAATTTAAATGTTCACCTCAATAGATAATGATTGTTCATGAATTTTTAAATATATTTTAGGCTGGAAATACACATTGCTTCAATACATTATGTCCTGGTTTTGTATTAGTAAACAGTAACATATATCTTGGTTCTGAATTCGACCATATTTCTCGACGAGGGAATGAGACACAATGGGAGTTTTTTTTCTACATTGATCGGGTAAAATTTATGTATCTTTTTATCTATTTTATTAAGTTTTTCAATAATCACTTAATATAAGAATTTTGATACATTTCCTTATGAAAACTAAAGGATCTAGTAAACGGAAACTGGTGGCTTTTAATTGGAGAAAATCAGACAGCAATTGGATTTTGGCCTCCAGGGATTTTTACGGCATTATCAAATGACTTTGCTACGAACATTGAGTGGGGTGGAGTGGCATATACTCCGCCAGGTGTACCATATCCTCCAATGGGGACTGGCTTTTTTCCTGCAATTCCAGATCCTAAGCTTGATGCTTATTGTAGGGGACTTATAGTTTTTAATAATAAAGGCGAGACGATAAATGCAGAAAAAACTCCCATATTTCTTGACAATCCAATATTGTATCGGGTCATTGATGAACCACATGGAGGACCCGAAAATTTTCCTCATTATATGTTTTACGGGGGACCAGATGATACACATATGTAGAATTATAGTAATTATGATTTATCTTTGCAAAATTCTATTTAATCTTGTTCATTAATTTGCGGTTGATAAAATCACAATCTTCCAACCTCTTTATGGAAGTTTCGTGCTTCAACTCTTAAATTAAATTTATATGTATAGGTGATTGTATATTAACCCAAATAGTCGCCTAACCAATCACTTAAACTAAAAATAATCGGTGGAGGTATAATATATGCATAATTTTATGTATTTTATGTGTATAATTGCGTATAATCAATATATAATCTATATGTATGGGTAGAAAATGTAAACAATGAATATGACCAGCTATTTGTGTAAAGATCCCCAAATGTTGTTACCATACCAAAAGAATCCAGAAATATACACTATATAATTGAAAAAGTGAACCCCAAACACTTCGAACAATCATAGTTTTAGTAATCCAAGTTGGAACTGGTCCTAATTAAGTTGCCAAATATATAGTATATCAACTTTAACCAAGGTTTCCATGACTTCATTGTATTTGTATATAATATCTAGAATGGCTCATTTCAATAGTTTAGTTGATAATACTTCACTTCTATTACAATGGTTTGATTGGTCTTTTTTTTTTTCTTTTTCTTTGAGGAAAGAAATATAAAACTTGTAGATAATATTATAAAATAAACTTTAGAAAAAAGGCCAATAACCAGTGTTTTAGTTGAGAAAAACGATTTGGATTTTCGTCCATTACAAGAGAAGAACCAATTAAAGACGCCATGGTATTAAGAAAAAAATGAGGAGAAAAATTAAGAGAAAATGAAATGGAAAGTCCAAGTCAGAATTAGAAAGTCTGTAATTCCTTCATACTTAATTTGTATACAATGCAACTTTCACCAAAACAGTACTGACTTATGTACAGTACAAAAACAACAATATTCAAAATGACCATATCTTTCTTGCCTTGATCGTCATGTGAAGAAAAGGCAATTGCCTTAATTAATTAGACTTAGATTTAAGACAATTGGCCCTAGAGTGGTAGGCTTATTTCCTCGCGTACAGTGTTCCATAGTAGACGACATAAGCTTGGCGATATACTACATGCCACGTAAGCGTATCGGATTTCGAAAAAAAATGAGTACGTACGCATCTTACCATGCAGTCATGTACTATATCACTATGACTGTACGCATATTAACCTGGATGGCTAGAAATATCGCTAGCCGTCTAGATTATTATGTGGTCATGTTGATATACATGATTGCACGTTCGATACGTATATTCTCGTTTTAATCAAAATGGAACAAGCATACGTGGGGAATCGTACGTAGTATCAACAAAAACCTTTTCATCGTCCAATACAGAGTGCTAACGCCGAGGACTATGCCTACCCCTCTAGGACCAAGGTCTTAAATCTGAGTCTAGTACTTTACAGTACCAGGCAACCTGAGAAAGTAAGAGGAATTGAGTAATTAAGGAAGAAGTAGGAAGTTAGAGGAAGAGAGAAAATGAAGAGAATTGTTTAAGTTGTTCTTTTCGATACAAATGCATTATATATAGGCAAACTTAAAGAGAGTTTGTTATTTGAAAGTAATTCAGTTTACTTGAAATGTAAATTGGATCACGGATTACTTTTTGTACATCGTTGGCATATAACTAATTTAGTCAAGCTAACAATAATGCAGAACCATGCACACTTAGTAATTTTCCCAAATTAAATTAACCACTTTTACATTTAGGGGAATATATCAGTGTCATTTGATTGTCATCTTGGTAATATTGGGGCTGAAAACTTTTGAGTTGGCATCTTCTTTATTTGTCTTTAAATCTTGCTAAATTCAAGTTGCTGTTGTTATTTATTATTTAATTGGTAGATAAGAATATGCCTTCTTTTTTTCTCTTAACCTTATCTTCACTAATTGTCCTTGTTTTATTATTATTTTTGGATAACGATCATGACATGATTGTAGGCAAGGGCGGATCTAGCCGTGAGTCTATAGGTTCCCGTAAACTTAGTAGCTTTTGTCCAAATCATATATTTGTATTAAGAAGTTCACTAAATATTTGATTACGAATCCAGTTATTATTGTATATATAATTCGAAGTTATTGTAGGAACCTATAAACTTTAAATCTTGTATTCGCTATATTCATTAAGTTAAATGTCAGTTTTCTTTGTTGTCCAACCAACTAGTCAATTAAAGAAACCAAGAATCGTGCACGGTGGAGTCATTCCTTTTTAGATAATACCACTAATTATGGTAAAGGATAATAAAATAGTAATTAAGAATATTCCTTTTAATATGTATATTGCAGTGTGAACTATCAACCGTTAAATTTACAATTCAATTTTTTAGGTTTATTTATTGTCATATAATGTAAAATTCTCTATTGTTTTATCGGAGATGTTTGGTCTGTGGCATTGAGTTACTGGTGTAGCATAATGGGTTTCTAGTTATACCTTGTTTGCTGCACGCTCTAGGTATTCAATCTTATTGGGCTCAGAAATGAAAACCTTAGGCCCGTTAAGTAAAATGGGCCTACAATTTAGGCCCGTGGATTTTTAATGGTCAATGTGTATTCATTTGTTTGAACTAAAGAGAAAAGGGGAATGTTACACAAATGGTCGGTCAGATTCAATATTTGCTTTTTCTAGCCGGTATACATATATTATACATCAATTATACGTAATTATACATATATTATACATGAATTGTACATATATTATATATTCGCCGGCTATTTATAATTTAAGAAATTAAGTGGGCGGCTATATGGGTTAATTCTTCAAAGAAAAGTGTATTCATATGGGGTAAATTGGTGGGTTTTGGTTGAAGAAAACCATAAACAAATTGGATTTTGGCCTCAAAGTAACTTCATTGACTTGGCAAGCTCTGCTATGAACATTGTATTTTCGATCTTCCAAATGGAGCAATGAAAACACATGTATCACTCAACGGTTACAACCAAAGCGAATATAGTTGCTGAGAGTCGAACTCAAGACTTCTATTAACTAAGCGGAGGGTCTAAACATCAAAGCTACAGGAGCTTTGTTGCACTCTTATTTCAGTTCAAAATAATTAATCTCTTATTTTATGAATTTGCTATAACATTTTAATATAGTTACGAAAGTTAAACTTGTTGGAAATATAGCTACAAATGATAAATATAGCGTAGATATTTGAAGTGTAGCGGAATTTTCCCTAATTTAAATGTGCCCAAGATGATGTCTTATTTTTGAAATTCTTTAGAAAGCACATGAACTCTAAAATCTATGAACTAAAGACACATACTTTAACAAACTAAGACAAAAAAACACATCACCTCTATAAACAATTTAAGGAATCATCTAAATCACATATGATAAATTACTTCAAATGTAGCCCTTGATCTTATTTTAGGGTCATGATTACCGATGAGCTCATTTTTCTTGTTTTAAGTAAAGCATCAGCAACTAATTATTCTTGTATATATCTCAACTTGAATTTGTCTATGTACACTTTTTGTGATTTTTTTTTCCTTTCGCAAATATAGTGTTCCAAAAACCTTTGAATAGCTACTGAAGTTTGAATACTTAAGAAAATATAAGAAAAGGACAAAAAAAATATAAAAGGTGGTGTTCAAAATGGCATGCTGATGGTTGCAGCATAATTAGGTAACGTACAGGTTATCAAGTAAATGCTTTCTTAGTAGGACAGCGTGACTAAATTTAACCAAAAAAAAAAAAAACACAAACATTAAAGAAATGATTTTCCAACGTAAGTAAGTTCCCAATGTCAGCATGCACATGAATACCTTATCAAGTCCTAGTTAAAAGGATACCTAAATTTCTTATTCGGTTTCTAATCCTTTTAAGTTAATAGATTTTAAATTAATAATTTATATATATTTAATATATTTTTAAAATAAATATAAAGTTTAAACTAAAAGTTATTAGTTCAACCGAATATGTAAATTCTAGTTCTGTCCCCGATAACAACATATATCTAGATGCAAGGCATTCCTATTCCTTTTATTTCGAAAAAAGGAAAAGAAAAATAAATTAAAAAAGAAAATCCAAAGCACGAAGTATTCCGTATTCATGCAGGGTCCGGGAAAGAGCTGCATCCTAAGTGGTGTGATATAGGTAGCCTACACTGATTCAAGTATCAATGGTTGATTCAACGGCTCGAACACGTCACATATAGGTCACACAGAGACAACTTGACCGTTCCTCTCCAAGGTTCCCCTTCAAAAAAGAAAATAAAATAAAAAAAAGACAGAAAAACAACAGTAGCGTAAATGGATATTTACACCTAATCATGCTGATGAATCAGAAAAATGCAAGTGGTTTGTCAAACTCAAGTTTTTCGGAACTTTTGTGTGCATGCATCAACATTCACTTCTATTTTATATAGAATTATCCGAAATTTTTTAAATATATTTGCACACATTCAGTCTTACTATCCAATCATATTTTAAAGATGTGGATGAACTTTTTTAAAGTAAATATGTGATAAGCTTTAGTTCCCAACAGGCCACGTCCAATTTCTGACGGTCATTCTGTCTTATTATGTGTTATTACACAATCATAAACACATTTCTTTGGAAAGAGAATAATATCCGTACTGATAAACAATATTCAAGAACAACTCTTATATTAGGGATACTTGAATGTTTTCTCAAGTTAGATTACTATAAATGATCCAATAGTACGTGTTTACCCGTAATATAGTACAGTTGAATTTATACGTGGTTTATAAACAGGCGAATCGATTTGATTCTAAAAATAATAAATAAATTAAAAAAGAATGTCACACGACTTAGCGTTGAAATTGAAATAAGACAGTAAATAGATTGGTTCCGGAAGCAGAGCTTCCGAAGGCAATGGTAACAATATTAATAAGCAAGAAATAAAATGTTATTGAGCTTTTGAACAGTATATAGCATAAGTTTGTCACAAAATTCGTCTCCCTTACAATGGCTGTTGAATTCACTATTTATAGTTGTACCTAGGGAAAAAGTTCCTAGGATCAAGCCCCTCTTAAATGACAACTATGAGGA